AAAAAAAGGAGCAGTTTCCTGCTCATCTTCCATCTCACCTCAGCCCACGCCTTCAGCACTGCCAGTTTCTCCATCGTGGTAGCGCTCTCACTATACAGCTGACTGGACGAGCCTTTCCCAGCCTGCACCTTGTCCAGCGACGACACAAGCAGGTTGTGGACTCGCCGCAGGTCGTTGAGGTCACTGACAACGCCACTGCCGATCCACGTACTGCACACCTGTAGTCAATGTGAGAAAGGTGAAACTGCTATGGATCTTACCGTTTTTATCTATTACAACAACAGACAATAAAATTTTATGATTCTGATTTTGATGTAAAAAATGTATTATATAACAGAGCACTTAGGCTCATTAGCCAAGCTATTAGAGGGGGGGGGAGTGTCAAACAAATGGGTATTAATAAATGGACTGACACCTTAGTGATGTAAAACTGGACCACATGTTTATAAGCTTGCATTCTTCTGGGAGGAACAGCAATTAAAGTGTCAGTTCAAGGGCAGCAGCTTGTTATAAATCTGGTAGCTTATTAAACTATAAGAAAACTACAGGTCCTCTGTGACCTTCACATCCACAGATATATGTATCCTAATCTGCTTTTTCAGAGTAAGTTGTAAGAAAAATTAAACCCTTCAAAAAGTCTCCCAAGCAGAGAAACAGGGGAATGTCAAAGAGAGAACATCTTTTAGTAATAAGCTGACAGGCATGTTTTGTTATTTGCCCCCGTCACTCAACATTCTCATCATTCAATTAAGTCAAAAAGCATTAAGTCACAAATTTGACACTGCTGGCTTCTAAGGGGATGATGACTCACTTTGTCGTGGTAATTAAGCTGCTAACGCAGCCACAGTTCTACCATTTAACAATCAAAAAACATATTTAATGGCTGTTAATGGAAAGAAGGTTGAACACACCTCAAAAAGAGGCATAAAGTGGAATTGTAAGCAATTGAGTTGGTGAAAGAGACAGGTATGTATGGCTTACCTGGCATGCCTTTGCTGTAATGTCGGACGGCGTGTCAGGTGAAAACGCAGGTCTGAGAGCAGCTCCAACCTAAATACCCACGAGTTGCAACAAGTTTACTTTCATGCAATGTTTCTAGGTTTGGACTACGAAATAATGCAATGCTTTACTCACATTGGCCTGGTACTGTTCCAGGATAACGTGCCCCGGGAACTCGGGCTCTGGTACGGACGCAAACTTTTTAATGATGTCTTCCAAGGCCTGCAGGCCAGCCATCCTCAGCTGGTTGCTGTGGTCTGTGGCTGCCATGAAAGCCATGCGGATGAGGTCAGATAAATGGAGCACCAGCAGATCTCCTGAACGGGCAGAGATGGATGAAAAAACAACAAGGACTATGTGAGAAATACGAACCTAATTATAAACACTGGAAGGAATATGAACTCCGGGAGCAGCTACAATAATGATTTTTCCAGTCATTGTTTAGTATTTGATTTATTAATCCTTTGATGATGTGTTACACTTCAGCAAGAAGCTATAACCAGTGCTTTCTTCAGACTCTTTGCTTTAATACTTTCTTCAAGAGGAAACACTTTTGGAGTTTCAGCGTGTGCCTGCAGCGACCAGAAAGAAACCCCACATTAAATTTGGGGCTGAGATTTAATTGACTTTTAACTGAAGGGCACCTTTTGAGGGATTAGTTGGACATGCCGTCATGCAGACCAACCATCCACTGAATCCCAGTCACTAAATTTGGCTTAGCTGGTTTCAGAGCTGCAAAGTCAGTACAATGTGCTATTACGGGCAAGCCTGTAGAATAGCTCCTTATTATACAGCAAAGCTTACATAAATATTGTCTCCTATATTTGCCACAGTGAACAAAACCCTCTGAACCTCTAGCTTTGTTCCATCTTTAAATGAAAGCATGTGAATAAGCAATTTCCTGTCGCACAGTAAAAGTGGCATTAATCAATCACAATTCTTTAAGTGAACTCTGCAGTAGTCTATTCTGGCAGCACAGTGAATGGTACCTTTCACATTCTTGGCCTGCGCCGAACGAGCAGCTGCCAGGTCAAAGTGTGTTTTGTCTGCATTCTCACACAGCAGGATGATGCGGCACAAACAGTCTGCTGCAAACACCCGTGTGACCCAGCGCGGCGCCACAGATGGCTTCGATTTGTCGTCTTCGCCCAGACCCGTGAACATTGTGTCATCGTCCATCTCGTCTTTTTTCTCCGAGTCTTCCTCGTCCTTTTGCACCTCAAACACAACAGCGCCCCCTACATCTGAAAGAGGACACGGGCACATTTGTGGTGAAAGATTTATAAAAGATGATTTTTGAATTTGCCGTTTTGTAGACTTACCTGTAGTTGCTGCAAGAACATCCTTGCAGAGTTTCAGCCAATGGGAAAGTTTTTCTACGGCCAAAGACGACAGCATGTGGCCGAGTGTGTCATGGATGTCTGAGCACAGCTTCCTGTCCGTCTCCCGATCCAGCATGCCAAACAGAACGCCCTCCAGACCCGTCTCTGTGATGTTTAGATCTGAACCAGAGCAAGTTAAGGCATTAGGATCCAGGTTGCATTAAGGGGAATTATTCAAACAGAATGCTCGAATCAAGTTTTGAACTTGTACTGACTGATTGCAGTGCTGTCTTTGCTGTCTCCCGCTCTCTTTGCCAGGCTCATGGCGTACTCGCAGACCTCTGCAGCTTCTCTCTGAGCAAGCTGTCTCAGGCAGGCCACTGCAGCACGACGCAGCAACAGGTGAGAGCTGCACAGGTGCACCTATGGGAACCCCAGTTCACATCAGGAAATCAACATTCAGACTGACAAACTCTAACTATCACATACGTACTCTAAAAGTATTTATGTCTTACACAGAGACACGGCACCAAGCTGGACAGGTTAACGTGTCGTGGAGCAAACATATGCAGCTGCTGCAAACATGAGATAGCAGCTGCCTGCACAAGAGAGTCTGAGTGGTCCTGCATTATGGCACAACCAACCAGGCAGGACGAGCGGATGGTGGAAATAGTGGCTCCATTTCCTAGCAAGACCAGCACAAAGAAACATTGTACTTAGAGACATATACTTCAGTAGCCTGCAAAGGATCAAAACCGGTTACACTGCCACCTGCTGGCTAAAAAAATACTATGGTTAATGATGTTTGTAATCTGGTTGTGCCACAGTTACCCTGCAACTCTGGTCCCACAGTAGTGATTAGAGCTCCCAGGCAGCGGCCCAGACACTGGTGAACCTCTGTGTGAGACGGGGGCACAGTGAGGAGCAGGGTGAGCACCAGAGACAGTGTAGGCTCCACATAGCCTCTGTACATGGGACCACTTGAATCCACAATTAGAGCCAGAGAGTGCAGAGCCCAAGTCTGGTGAAGACAAAAACACAGATTGAATTAATTTAGAGTGGGCCAGACCAGAATTGAAGAAAAAGACAGGGATGCATCAAAACTAGGTTTAGACATAACATTTAACAGAAAAGAAAAACAATCAAAATGTAATTTAATTATGAGTGAATATAAAAATGTACTTCTAATAAATAATTGACTGCACCTGGACTTCATGTGAAGAGCCATCCTGGGCTAGAGCCAGCAAGATGCTGACACTGGTCTTTAAGTGCTGGCCAGAGCCAATTCCTCCAACATATCGATGCAGACAGCCGAGAGCCAGTGAATGGCCCGTCCTTGAAACTACATCACGAGCTGACTTCAGCCTGTAAACAGAGCAAAACAAAGACATGCATCACATGAGTAGAGACAGATACAAAGTATGAGAGATCAACTTCAAGACAGATGAACAACAATGAAACACAAACTATAACTTTCCAAAAAGAGACATTCTGAAAATGTAGTGAGAATGTTTATTTTGTGCAATCAGGTATAAAATGACTCTCTGTCCGTCCCACTAAACGTCAAGGTGCAGTTTACATCCTTGTCTGTCCAGGCTCATTCAAGATATGTAGTGATAGACTAATATTTTTTCCACCTAAAATCACTGTATTCTTAAAAACATTTATTAATGTAAGGTAAATACAGGTTATTCTGATCACAACATTGTGCACAATGTTTTCAATATTTATGTTATTGCAAAAATCTACACTTTTCAAACCTGGCACCTCAGAAGACTAAATCTGGCGCTCAAATCTCTCCTTCTGTCCAAAGTGTTTCTACAGATCACTAGGTTGTCATGGTAATGTTAACCACAGACCATTTTAAACAGAAAATGTTATCAATTCATCATTTTTATCCTGTTAGACACTTGTATCGTTTTTATTGGTGTATGAATTCTTGAGTTATGGCCAAAAGTAGGCTCTTTGGGCTTGACCTTTGACCTCCAAATGCTATCAAATTCATCCTCATGAATCAAACAAATTAATCAGTCAATGAAAGTGAACACTGGTGTAAAATATGAAGAAATTTTCTTAAGGCCTTCCTAAATATTTGATTTGAAACCATAATGTTGGACACAAAAAGCAAAGAAACAGAAATTGGAGACATGATATGCTCACTTATCAAAACTGGTCTGCGCCATTCTGGCAATGAAGGTTGCCTCTCCGACCACCTGAGCCATCCTCCCCAGGGCCTCTCCAGCAGCACAGCGCAGGATGGGATTAGGGTTGTCCAAAGCTCCCATCACCAGGGCCAGAGCTGATTTACGCACCTCCTCAGGCCCAAGAGTGCTCTTATTCTCAGCCAAACCCTACAGTTAAAGCGAAAGAGAAACATTATTTCTCACTGTAGCTATTACCTAAATGACCTACCCATTTAAGAGGATATAGAGCTTTTTTTCTTACCTTGAGGGCAGAAAGGACTGCAGTAAAGATGTTGAGTTGGACGGCTTGCTGTCGAACTCCTTTAGCCTGCTTTATGCATTCTGCAAAGTGGTCTAACATCTGCAGCCTGAATCATACCCATCAGTTAAAACACAGTAAAT